ACTGTCATTTTGCTTCTCAAGTAAATATCTCGATTTAAGAATGTTTATATATTTGTACTGGAAAACAATGCAAAAATACTGGGCAAGAAAATAATTTTTTGCAGTGTATCACTGGTGGAAGTAGCACCAAGATGGTTTCCTCTTACTGCCAAGAGAGAATTCTCTAATAGAAATCCCAATAAACACACAAACGCCATCTGAGCCATCAGAGCGATGGGCCATAACTCATCAGATGTAGCGTCAGTTGATGCCAATGCTAAACCTCTGTGGAAATTTCAATTTCGATGCAGCACTAGGACTTGAGACCTTCCAAGCAACATAACGTTTCCTATCATTTTGCAGCCTATGCGGATTTAAAAAGCCTCCTTTTCTCTCCTGATGCCTGGGTCATTTTCACACCCACCCATCGTGAGCAGAGGAACAGAGAACGACCTCCACGAGCAAACCTCGAGATGATCAGAGAATCACACTGTTATTGACATTTACGAGGTCTATTCTAATGCGTTTGCAGTGATGTGGCAGCGATATCCTGCTCCGTCCTGCACCCCCAACCTTCAGAGATGCAGATGGGGAGGGGAGGTGTTGACAGCATGCACAAGGCAAACATCTGTAGAGCTTGAGCACTTGCCATCTTGGCCTTCTCACGTCCAGCCTACATGCACCATCCACTCCCCACCCACAGAAGAATCCAGTTCCTCTTACGCAAGCAATAATCCGAAAACATGAGTTAAAATGGCAAAATAAAATCGCAGATACACCTATAACCTTAACACACAAGCTTCCTCCCCAAAAACACACAGTCAGACTAGCATTGTATGGTTGTCCATCTAAAAACTGACATATAATAACAGCATACCTTTTTCTTTACAGGCACAGTACACAGATTCTTCAGGCTGAGCCTCTGAAATGTTTTTTCAGATATAAAGGCAGTGAGGGATGAGACAAAGATGGGTGCAGAATTTTCCAGAAGGGCCCTGCTCTCCCTGCTGCTCTCAGAACGATTGTCAATCTTTAACCTCAGCTGTGTGCTGCCGATTGGTTTGAGAGCCACACGGAGGCACGTGATTGGGCGACTGGTGCTGTGTGTGCCACACAGGCTCTCCCTGCTCTTCTCTCTCTGCTCCGATACACTGCTGCAATGCAGGGAGGGCTGCTTCTGCTGCTGCCATTCACTGGGAAAATACTCATATTCTACCCTGAAAACTACCGGTGTGAATAAACATGGGACGCAGATGTTCGGACAAACATGTCAGATGGTTTTATTCTCCTCCCCTTCTTGCAGTCACGGGTTAAGGGCGACCATTTTGATCCCATTCTCTGTCCTTGTCGTGTTAAGTAAGAGCCAAACGGAGATTTGACAAATAAGCGGCTCTCAGGAATGCAGCAAGGGCCTTGTAAACACCGAGAGACAAAGAAAAGGCTGGAAAATGTAATCGGAGTCGTGGTAAATTGCAGGTCTTGGGAATACTCCTTATTCTCTGTCTGACTGACTTACACTCAGCCGGCTGCCAAAATGAGCTCATGTACCACTAAAAATAATTTCAATTGCTCACTAATGTTGTAATAGGATCAAGGACGCTCATTGTTCCGCCTGGATCCATTGATTTATTCAAAAACACAAAAAAAATTACTGTTTTTTTAATTATCATGTTTTTAATTTATGCATTAATTTCTTTTTTTTTTGGGGGGGGGGGGGGGGTCTCTGAGCACACTGCTACTCTTTTTTTCCCCCTTGCAGACACTGTCTTGATATCATAAAAACGCTCTCAATAAAACAGTAAATGATGTCACAGAGGCGATCCCTTTGGTCCTAAATCACCAACGTCAGTGTGTCTCCTAAATATCAGATAATTCAATCCATTTATGACAAAACAAGGTTAGTTCATGTTGTAAAATATCACGTGGATTTATGATTTTATGAATGTGGATTTCATGACATTTGTAATTCATATACACTACCGGTCAAAAGTTTGGGATCAGTAAGACTTGTAATGTTTTTTAAAGAAGTCTCTTATGCTCATCA